ATGATTGTTAGATACTAAAAAGGATATTTGCTTCTGGCTTGTTGGTGATTTTGAAGCAAAGACAGAGGGATGCTGCAGGGTGTGGCGAGAGCGACGCTGAAAATGGAAAGTTGTGAAAAGGAACGATATCTATGTAACCCGCACACTTGACAAAGAAAACACTTTGGACTTTGTCCACTTTACTCATTTCGGTAGCACCACCCTGTGCTTATGAAATTTTCTCTAACACTTTGCAAACATGCACTACATTTAAGGCAGTTTTGTTCGGAATCGTAGATCAAGGAAATACACCGGAACTGTCAAATAACGGCCCTCAAAGAATGCTTTCGATTGAATATGCAACCCCTGAAATGGCTGCCTGCTAAAGACGTTTACGTTTTCATCTCTTCCGCATCCGGGGAGGTGGGGTGTGTGCGTCACCGTGGTGCGTGCGTGTGCTCTACGCTGATTGGTTCGCAAATCCGGATTTTCCTGCGCGACGGCCGGCCGTCGGAACCAATCACCGTAGAGCACACCCACGCACCAGCGCTGACGGTGACGCACGCACCCCAGTCCCCCCGGAGGCGGAGGAGGCGAAAACCCAAACGTTTAGAGATGTGAGTACCGCGCGCGTATTAGGTTTAGGGAGGTGGTTTAATATTAGGACTTCTTTCGTTTAACCATTAACTGGTCACGTGATCTCCTTCCTCCCATTAAAAACAAAAATACAATGGCTAACAATTATTCAATCTTATGTATTTGTCCTAATTGATACAGCATATCTAATGAATGTTCGAATTTTTTGTACAGTTCAACCATAAGTTCCATATCGCCTTTCACCTTCCACCAATCCCGTTGTCTGATAGGCCAATTGTAATCGAATTTATCAAATGCCTCTATTTCCTCAGGCGTCCAATGCCTTCTTTGTAGAAGATCCTCAGTATATTTGACGGGATCGTTATTCATGCTACTGCGATGAATGTTGGATTTCTGCTCATATTCTGTAAAATTGTGCTTTTTCATATTCTCGAAATTACGTCTGGTCATCGTCACCTCGTATTCCAACCTACGTAAACGAGTTTTCACTGCTGCTGGTAGATGTTTCGGTATTTTTGACGGATGAACATATTCAGAGGTAGATGGTTGTAAGGTCTCCCACTTTAGCTCTTTTTCGTACTGTCGGTTCCACTGGTTCTTCTTCCACTTGCTAAGATGTAGAGAGTTGAGGTGACTCCTCTTCATTAAGCGTAGTTGTAGGTGCTTCCTCCTGTACGCGGTTAACTAGATCTTCCAGCTCTATTTCCTCCAAAGGCTGATAGTTTGCTCCACCATTGACTGTCCGTAATGCCGAAATAGCGTCCATTATGGCACTAACTACATGACTTTGCGATAGGCCGGAAGACATCCCACTTACTAGAAGTCCAACTTTTGCACCAAGGCCAGATACAACTCCCAAAACTATTCCGAACTCCTCCCATACGCGGTCTTGTGATGTACTAT